GGGGGGGGTTGGCACACCACACACATGAATGGACTAAGTGAAACTAATGGAGACTTATTTACATAAAGTGTCTAAAGTGATTATAAATATTAAGAAAGATTATTTTAATTATGTGTTTATCATTAATATATTCAAATCCATGGGCATAAGCTTTGAACATATTATCATAGCAGTGGGATGAAACTGAGCCCCTTGGTACTGTGGCCTCAACTGGACGTACTGTAGTAGCCCATGATGATAGATGGGTATGGAGCATTAGTGCAGTGATAACTGTCATGGGAAAACGTAACTGCTCAGAAAGAAACCTACCCCAGTACCAAATTGTGTACTACAAATCCCACATGGACTGTGCTGCGAAAAGACAATGATAACTGCCTGAGCTATAACATGGCCAACTTCAAACATCACTTTCCCTGTTAGATATCCACTCAGAAGTTTGCACTGTTGCAAAGGGTTTAGTATGTGTTCTTGTAGTTTATATTACCATTAGAACTTGCCTCTAATTGTGTTCAGACAGACTACAATTTAGTCTTGTTGACTGGTTTTCTTTCCTTGGGTCTAATACACATACATAACTTTGACTTTCAAGGTTTAGCCACATCATATGCTGAAGCTGTTTCCATTTTGACATACATTACAGTTACTGTCTTAATCCTAAAAATGGCAACTGTGATATGTGCTGAAGTGCCAAAAGATAGACTTAAATAGCAGAATAGATTAGGCAAAATGAAATACCCATATTTCAAGGCATATTATAAACTTCCAACCTGTATTATTTACTGATTGATGTAACAGAAATATTTATTTATGGACAACTGATTCACTTTGCCTGAACCCAGTATATCTAATGTTGATTTGTACAGACAGCCCAAGAACCTTTATAAAATTAGTAAAGTTTCATGTAGAGTTCATGTGTAGTCATCATGAATGTAATATGTGACGTGTTTTATATCCAGCCCTATGGGGAGATGATTGGATCCATAAAGTGAAAATAAATGTAAATGTAAATGTAAACTGTTGCAGATAGGAAGCAACCAGCATATTATACAGCAAAGTTAATTATGTTTCTAAAATGCCAAAACTCAGTCCTGTCTCCAAGAGCCTATGTGAATGCATGAATAGCTGAATTATAATTATGCCATACTGTTTGACATGTAACTAATACTTTTCAAGCAACTAGTATTCAAGATGGTATACGTGGTTGCCTAGGGAGGAAAGAACTGGCTGTTTCTAGAGTAACCATTGGACTAATGGTTTTAGATGCCAGGATATTACTAACATTTCAAGAATTTTAGAGAAACTATAAATGTAAAGTCAGTTTGGAGACTTGAGCTATATATCACTGGGCTTTGGCAAGACTAGGATGGAGTTAGTGAAAGCATGCACCTGAGTTGTATTCCAACACCCATGACTGCTTGGATGCTGCAGGCTCCATTATTAGTGACTCCATGCTGTTGCTGAATGGTGGTACCTCGTCCATGCTCTGGAGACTAGTGCTACTGCCTGTACTAATTTTTGAAACAACTTTATTCTCTTGTAGTTCATTCATATCAACCACATGGAGAATTCCTCCTTTAGAAGCACTAAAACCATATTCCCCTTTGGTTATCATTAGTCTGTCAAGTGGTGGACATTTTAAAGTAGATGATGCTTCATAAGTCTCATGTTCTGAATCATACTCAAACACAGAACTGACAAGAGAAAGAGATTCAGTGTCATCACATGAATCAATTAGTTGCTGGTTCACAGCAGAGGTGTCAATCCTTGTCTCATTTCTGGCTTGAACTGTGTCAGAAGTTTCTGTTGCCATGTCAAACATTCCCATGTCATTATCACCAATGTTCAGTTCATCATCTGAATCTTGTGCAACATCTGCAGAACTTTGTGATCTCACCGACTGCCACTCCCAACTGTCACTGCTGACAGAATCAGCCCCAGACTGAGAAAACATTAGCATTGTTGTCCCAACACCGAATGTTTGACCCACACTGCCATTCTCCCCATTTCTTTTCTTCCCTATGCTTCCTCTCTCTCTCCTCTCTTCTGCTACTGCAATTTGCATATGGTTTTCTATGTCTGTATTTTGCAAGACGCTGCTATTGGACAGCTGTCGTGGATGTGGAACAGGTCTCTTTCTAGTTGAGGAAATCACATCATCCAAAGAACTACACTTGTTGTGTGTGCGTGGCTTTGGAGCTGGGGTGTGCAGTGTGGGTTCATGTTCCAAAGCAGCGGAAGCTGTTGTTAGGGTTGGGGTAGAAATACATGCAAAAGAAGAAGAAAAAAATTACATGCAGGAAGAGCAATGTGTTCAGAATTTACGGCATGCTTGGGTAATTAGGAGCCACAACCACTGTTTATGGTTAGTGTGTTTGTATAATTACAAGGTTGAAAAGATAAGGAAAACACATCCGCTACTAAAACTGTACAAAACTACAAAATATATATGAACATAATTGGATGCCAGATAAAGTTAGTTTACTGTAATATAACAAACATGTCAGAAAATGTATGTACAGAATAACATCATATACTGGCTCTGTTAGTGCCTGTAGAGGTTAAAAATTCCTTCTGTTTATCCCAAAGCCATAAGACTTCACAGAGGGAATATATTTGAATAAAATGTATAATCCATTTCTACATATAACTTTTGCTCAAAATATTTTTCACGCCAATAAATATTTGATGGCTATATTTGAGATGTATGCAGAAACACATAGATCTTCATGTACATGCCCATTATTGTTGTCTGATTTAAAAAGAAACAAGAATATTTTGTTAAATTTCAGTAAAACTATCAAAAATCAAATTTCATAAAAATCTGTTCACTGGCTCTTGACTTGTTACTCTCATTGTATAGTTAATAGGGGCATTTTTTATACTTTGTTGCAATGTATCAAAAACTACTGTTGATAAAATAATACAGTTTTATTGATCTTTAATATTCCTGATCAAACTACACTAATGAAACAAAATTATACTAATATGTGAACAGAGTTACTGTTACCAGCTCAACTGATACACCATCAAGGCATACAGGGAGAGTGGACATAAACTTCCATGAATTTATAACTTTGGCACTAGATGCAGGTGAATGTCAGCTTTATATTCTAGATGCCTTACTTCTAGCAAAATACCTTTGGGAAGCAACTGAATAAGAGGCTAGGAGATCCTAGAGGAGGTATGATTTTAGTGGTAGAGAAGTAAAACCCTGCCCATTTTGAGTACTGGGCCTGTACTGCTGAGCCCATAGCCTGTCATTTAACTGATTCAGCTGTCCTGGCTTATACCAGCATACAGCCATAATATACCATTTTGTTCTGGATATGCAGAATAATCACTCAAATTTGATGTTTGAGTTCCTCTGACAGTGAATATTATGATTATAGTCATCTGGGTATGTAACGTCATGTAGTTTGGTATATACTCGTAGGTATTGATATAAAGGTAAAGTAGTCCCTGTGTGTAACTAATTAAGCAGTATACCATGAGAATGTATGGGGGAGTGAATGTATAGATCCACTTTTCTTAACCTCAGAACTAGTTGGAGACGAGTGGTCAGCTTGACACCCCGGCCACTTTACCTCTGGGTAGAGCCCCCAGTACCCATTGGATAGGAGGTTGGGTGGACCCCAGAGCCGGTCTGGACGACATGGAGAAGTGAAAATTCTTGACCCTACCAGTACTCAAACTCCAACCTCTCTGTCATCCAGTCTGTAGCCAGTTGCTATACTGATTGCGCTATCCAGGCTCTGTTAGGTATCAATGTTTTGGAGGAACTGTCTGTCTAAATATTCACAGTAAGCAGAATACTTACACTGTGGTAGGTGCTTCGTCTATGAAAGTGTATCCTACTATGCAGATATGTTTACATGTAAATGTGTGTCCTGGAAATAGACTACTTTATTCATTGAGATGTATACAGACACACACCAGTAGGAAGTGTATGGTTGAATGTCATGGTGATTACAGGTGAACAACAGCTTAGTGTGACCTGTAAACATTTATGGTCTGGTATTTCTTAAAGTTGCAAAGTTCTAATCTTTATCTATAAAGTATCTAGTTAGGATAAGAAAACATCATGTGTGTGAAGAATACCAAGCACCCTGTTGTTCAGAGCCTTGTAGCAATAGGTTCCCTCAGCTGGCCATCAGTCCCATTATCACCCTACCCCTAAGGGTAAGTGCATCTTCTCCATGGCTGCCCCATTCTCAAAAATTGTCCAGATGGGAAGAGATTGAAAAGATGAAACAAATGAAACCTGAAGTCAGTTAAAACCAACCAGCCTGCCAGTCTATGAAGATTGCTGTCATCTGGAATGAGATGCCATGAAGTCTGGTAAAAAGGTACCAATGTTGTGTAGCAACCTACTGCCTCCATGTTCAGGGTAAGAAGTGGAGGCAGCAGGTTCCCCTGAAAGTTGTTAGCTTTCTACCTGACTACACTGTTTTACATTCCAGATGACAGCAATCTTCGTATTCAACACTGTTAATACCTCAAATCTCATTAATTTCTGGTTATGTTAATATTTAAACATGTAAAAAAAATCCCAGGGTTTATTTTCAATATTTTTAGCTATCTCATCTAAGCTAATGAGTCCATGACACAGAGCACCTAATGTTACAAGAGGGAATTTAATTCAGTCATAATTCTATATGTCGTTAATTAGTACATAGGCTTCCTTCATACAAATTCAGCTCTGCTCTCTAGGATTTTATCAAGATCCTGTAGGAACTTGTTCCAGGATTGACTGGATTCCCCATGACTAATTGGGAAATCTACTGGTGGGGGCACAAGCAAGCTGACCCTCATCCTAGGATTCAGCTGTCCCTCTGCAGTACTTCCGTCACATTCCTGTTTTGATACAGCTGGTGAATTACGTGTACCACTGCCAAGTTTGCAGAATGTGGAAATTTTATCACCAGGAGTATCTGTAATATTCCAATTTCTGTTTTGTATAAACTGCTCTTGTGGTATCACTGAAGAACATTCAGTTTCTTCTGACATAAAACGTGATCTCATATCATCTATTTTAGCAGAACTTAATACGTTTTTAGAGGTGGAATGAATATGAACCCCATGTGTATTCTTTTGGGAGGCTGCGACCTTAAATTCAGAATTCTGTTGAGTAGTCATGCTTGTACATCTTGTGATAAGAGTTTGGTAATTCTGTGAATCAGAGTTCACAAATTTCTGTTTGGAATTAGAAGACGAATGATCCCTAACTTTATTGCAACATGTATGGTGTGGCTTGTTACTAACATCATACTGAGGATGATTTTTATTAATTTTGACATTAGGAATCATCACGTTACATAATTCCTGTTCTGAACTAAAATCAGTAATTTTTATAGAAGCATCATTAGTCAGTGCCCTGTTTACGGCTCGGTTAGTTTTACCATTATTTTTAAAATTAGGGGTAGTATTTTTATGGTCATAAACATCATATGAATTCTCCATCTCATAAGTCTGTAGTTTTGAGGTACAAGGTTTTACCCCATAATCACTGTACCTCCCACAGAATTGGCGGGGGGTCCTCAAATCAACACTATATTTGGAAGTCAGTGAAGAAGTTTCATCAGGGAATGAACTGAAAATTGTCCCTTTGCATCTGACAGGGGATATCTCCTCTAGGTTCCATAAGCCTCTTGAGGATGGGAGACTGGTGTCCATTTCTAACTTACTAGTTGCCAGCTTACCTTCTGGAGTGCCTGTATTAACAACCTGAGGGCTGTTACTCTTGGAAGCAAGCTCTACAGGGGTCTCTGGTGTTGTTTCTACAGGAGGCATTGGGAGCTGCTCAAAGCATTTGTCTTGTTTCTCAACAATATGTCTGTCAGAACTCTGATTGGTAGTTGCAATGTCATGTTCACCCTGGTGCATTTGTGAGTGGAAGAGAGGTGTTTCTTTGGAAATGTCTAGAACATAGACATCCTCCTCAACTTCAGGAATCTTCTGGTCTCCATCCAAACACCCTTCTTCAGGTGACTGTATTTTTGTTTCAGGAATGATTTTGGGTTTCTTGACTGGAGATTCCACTGGCCTGTAATCATGCTCTGACATCTTCATCTTTCCAGGTAGAGTTGAGTACTTGTCCGGTGATTGAACACTGCCAGCTGCAGAATTCTTACCAGACAGATGTCTCTCTAGTGATGTTGTCTTTTTGTGTGGCTCTGAGTTGTCCTGATCAGTGGAGGACAGTGATAATGATGACAGGTGCTTTTGCTGTTGGTGATCTTTGGTTCCTCCTGCTCCTGGTGGAGGTGGTGGTGCTTTCTTTTTCTTTAGTCCTTGACCTGTTATCAAAACATATGAACTACAATGTTACACTAATACAAAATAAACTATAATATGTACATAAGTCATTTGATGTCAACCATATTGCAGGATTCAGATTGTGACCTTCCCAGTCATGATACTCTGTAGTCTTGTGGGTGAATATCAGTGTTCTGGAGGAACATACTGCTTCTGTACCCTGAAGATGGAGGCAGTATGTTCCTCTGAAAAGGTGATACTTATTAACCAAACTATATATCCCAGGTTGTCATCTTAACCTTAAACCTCATTTTTTCATTCTCATTAGCATATTTGTCATTTTGTTGAAATTTAATTCTTAGTGGAAAACAGAGAGTTTCTCTATTCCAGGTTGAAGAACAACCCGCCACAAAAAGCCAAAATGATGTAGAAACACATGCTATTCTAGGAAAGATTTTCATATGAACAAGGGTTACATCACTGTTACCAACCTGTGGAGGATGCAAGGGAACTGTTAGAGGTACTATGCTGGCAGCCTGCCATGTTTCCCACTCTGTTCAGACTTGACATTGATCGTGACAAACCATGGCTTCCACCATGAGTCTTCATCTGTATTGGCTGGCCAGACACCAGCTTTCCTTCACGTGGGAGTGTGTCCACAGCACAGCTGGAATTACAAGGTTGGTAACACTACATCATCAGTGTCATTTGATGAAACAGCATCTGCTTTAGGTGTGAGGCATATAAGTTAATGGCAAAATGTAACTAATTAAACTAAATAATTAAATTTTTACAAATGAACCACTTTAATTCTTTGAAGCATGAAATTAGTCTAAATAATATTTAAAAATTAAATCCATACATCNGTGGGATGTTCCCACATCACTCCCCCCCTTGCGAGAAGTGATGTTGCTGCTTGCGAAGAGTATGCTGCGTCTATGCTGGGCCGTGATGATCCAACGTAGGCGTCGTTACTTGATGTTCACCACACGTGCTTCCAATCACGTCGGGGTCACCAATGTGGGGCTCTCTATTGTCAACGTGTGTAGTCTTGTCACTATTCCTATGACAACCCACTTCTTCGGAACAATTTGTTGGCCCTGAAAAGGACCATGGCTGCTGAGATGATTGACCGGTGAGGTAGCGCGGCGCGCGCCGGTAAGGAGAAAGGCTTGCCGCGGTGAAAGGCTAGGCNCACAGAAAACACACTGAATCTCCAGTGCAAAGATGAACTATTGTGAGAAATATCTTAAACATATAAATATGCATACACTGTGTGGGCAAAATGTAGAATTTCTCAGTGTTAAAACAGGCTATCTTCCACTTTCAAAGAGGTCTTTCCACCAAAACTCTGCATGTCTTTCTTGTTTTCCTCATCCCAGATACATGTCCAACTCATCATAACCCCTTACATTCATTCACCTAACAATACTAGATTATCTGCATAAATTTTGAGGCCTATCATTATGTAATATCCTGAAATTTATGTAGGATTTGGGGTTCTCACATCTTGGTATCTTGCTTGGCTTATTTGACCCTGAAGATGGAGGCGATGTATTCTTTCAAAACGTCAGTTGATTTTCAATGGACTACACAGCATTATACTCCTGAATAAAATACTCTTCATATGAAATTTAATTCTCCCCCCTGAAGTAATATAACAGGTTTCACAACATACAGAATAAATGGGAAGTTTATTGTATTATATACAGAGTACCCATAAAGTTCCTGTTTTGTTATTGTGCAAATGATCTCATGTCACATGTTTGCATGGTTGTCATATTGGTGTTATCAACTAAAGGAAATTAATATGTTTAATGTGCAGTCAGGTTGGTCATCTTTGGAATTTTCCAGGTATGAGACAATAGGTAGGTAATATACATACTTTTCTGTCATCTGGTTGCCTTCAGCAGGACTCTCACTAAGAACTGAAGCCTCATGGTACCCACTGCTGTCCGAACTATTGCGGGAATGTGATACAGGGACTTGTGTTGTCTTGGTGTTATTACTCCTAGAATGCCCATTCATGACAGTTCCAGAGCTTGTTTCTGCTTGCACATTTGATTCCTGTGGGAAGAACTTCAGGTTCAGTTCTTGACAAAATATGCATGCTGCTTATAAATTTAACCAGTCATTTAAATTTTTGTGGTTTGGTATTGTATTATTATAAACTGACTTACATACTTACCTTGTTAAATACTCTTTAAATCAGACAAGTTTATAAATGTGTGCAAAGTGTAGTTCTGGCATGTTCATTCCATTTTGTTTAACTATCTCAAACTGTAGTAACTGAGAAAAAAATGGTGTTTCACTTTTTTCTACAGCTTCTGTTTAAAACATTATTTGGTTTGATACATACTTTGTATATTACACTCAAGATGCACAGAAAAGCATGTAGGCCTTCATTTTAGAATGTCCTTTATTTTTATCTAACTGTAACCAAAGGCTCTGTGCTGAGAAGCCAGTGTGGTGGCATAGCCAAAATGTCACACTGTTATTATGTTACAAGTCACATGATGCTACTAACAGTCCGCTGTGTATTGCTGATTGGTCCATTGTTAGAGCTGGGTGGCTTTGGTGCAGGACGTCTCTTTCTAGCTGGTCTTGCTGGTGCGAGTGGTGCCATCATGGGTGGCAGACTTGGTGCAGGCGGTGAGGCTGATCGGCTGGCTGACTCATCAGATCTGGCTGGTGAGATGCTGCGACCCCCTAGGCTGTCACTGCTCACACTGCCCTCACACACACTCTGTAAATGTAGACAGGTCATTCAACAATTCCTTACTCTGACTCAGTGGATTCAAGAACTTTCTTACAATATGCTAGCCATTGCTTACTGAACTTTTTTGATACACACATAAGTAAAAACGTCAGTAGTTTCCAAGGACCAGTCCCATCTCTGTCTCACATTGTTCAGTACAAATAACAGTCCACAAATCTAATTATTGCCACAGCAAACAAGAATGTTTTTATGATACTGTCAAATGTTTGTGATAATTGAAGTCTCTTGGTAAAGAGAAAGGCTAAAGACAAGAAAGATGTGTTTATTTGAAATTTACCACATTCTTATTAACATATGGATCAAAGACAGATATTAAACTAATGACAGCTGAGATGATTTTAAGAAGAACAGAAGGAAAAACAAAGGAAGTGAGAATAAGAAACAAAGAAATAGAACAGATTTGTAGACAAATACCATATGATGTCATATGATGTGATGTCATGTAGTCTGGTAGATATATGCCAGTGTGTTTCAAGCCACACGACAGAAAATGGAGACAGCAGGTGTCTACAGTTCATATGTGTCATACTACATGGCATCCTATTCCAGAAGACAGTAATCTTAATACTCACTGCAGCAAGAATGTAAAGTCTCATATATCTTATACTATAGTTTAAATAAGTCATTAATCAAATCAGAAATATATGGCACAAAATATAATATTAAATTGATTCTGACACTCACAGATTGACTCTGCTTGTTTAACACAAGTCCCAGCCCAGTGCCTGTTCCGTGTTGTTGACGTGCTTGCTGACGCCGCTTGTCTTCCTCTCGCTGCAGTGCCATGATATCAGACGATGACAGTGCTGATCCCATGCCAGGTGCCCGACTTCGTGCTACTAATGTCACCTCCTGCAGACCATAGTCAGCTAGAGTGCAGGATGGACTCAGCAACTGAGACAGGTTGGCTGTGGAGTAAAATCATTCAATGGAACATACAGAGAAAAGTGATTTCTGCCTTTCTGTGGAGCTTTGAGTAAGACATTGTTCCGGTTCATTCATTCATCAGTAATCTGTCAGATGACAGGTCCACAGCCTCTTCCAAAACAGTTTCTCCACTTAATGCGATCTTCTGTTTTTGGAAAGAGACTATCCAGGAATAGTGATAATGTGGTAGTTTTTCCATTTGCTTTCCACATCGCAGTACAACAGCCGTTCAAACCACTCTGGTCACGCCTGTTGCTATACGAACTTGAACCATCTCGAGCATCATTTTCTCTGTGCTTCAAGTCGCCGCTGATGACGCTGCTTCCGGCATCAGTTTTCGGTGTCTCTCTTCGTCTGATGCCTACCCTTTGACCTGTCCAGCAAGGGAGGCCCTGCCAGTAGCTACGCTACCGCTGGTATAGCTCTCAGGGTCCTTGGCATACTCAAACACCCTCACCACGATAAGGTGGAGACACCACCTTATGTACACCGGTTATGTCACAAAAATATATCCAAGGATCGAATACTGCTATTACCACAGTCCACAATTGGACATGTTCCTGAGTCAGTTCCATCCAAGCCCCATCTCACACCTGTTTCATACAAATCAGTCTTCATACAGTCTCTTTCTTACCCTCAAACTACCAATAGGTCAGTTTCCAAGTGGTTTCCCCTCCAATATTCCATATGGACTTCTTGTTTCCACCATCTGGACAAAATGTCAAGCCCATTGTACTGTTTTACATTGCACTGTGATACTTATACTAGGAACATGCTGTCATTTGTATGAGTGTGACTGTGAATGGGGATTGGATCGCAATTGGGTTTCTTGCACACTTATATACAACTCATTGCTGCACTTCACAGACCACTATAGGACACACTAGGTCTTCTCAGTCTGTTACATTCCTCACTAGCCATTGTTTGGTAGCAAGTTCCAATGGCAGATGTTCCCCTCCCTCTGGGTTCCTGAAATTTCCTCGGCCACAGCTACGAGCTTCTCATAGCAACAGCTCATAATAACTGAACCCCAGCAGTTCTCTAACTCACTCACTAACTTCTCCTGCTTATAACATCTTCACGTGGACCACATAGAAAACACCATTCCTCTGTTGCAATGCAATTGTTGCATTCATGTCTGTTTGCAGAGCTACTGCTTAGCAATGGCTGTTGTATAATTGCTTATTTCACAGTCATTGCCTAGCAACAGGTCTACATGCCACAATACATAAATCACAAAGTTCCTTGTCATGCAGTATTATAAATTATCAATACATTCATCCTTCTGAGGGCCAAATCATTTCTGGAGTGTTCTCATTGTTGCCTAGCAATTGGTATACATGTCACAATATCATACATACTGAAAGATGAGCAGTAAACATTTTGAACAAAATCTGTCAGATGGTTTACATATTATACAGGTTTAAAGAATGCATGTTGCAGTGTGTCCTGCAGCAAGCTTCTGGATATGAACTGATGTATTAGTAATACTGATTGTAACTTACTCTATTTTTATTGAATACATCTCTAATTTTGTGAGCATTTGTGATCGTTGTAATGAAGCTTTAGCTTCCATGAAAGGTTGAGAATACTTTTACAAGACTCAGGTCAGGGAAAGAATGAGTATGGATGGTGGAAATCACAGTTAGCTGCCTTCTCCCCACTCCTACCTACAGAGAAAACTTATCCTCTGTCAGCACCAATGACAAACCAGGGATGCAAGCAAGTGAGCCTGTAGACAGAATGATAGTCAGAATATTAGTGATAACGAGTGGGAGTGATGGGAAGCACATAGAGGGGAGATCGCTGCTAGGCAGACAGGTGCAGAAAATCTTTCCCTGATCATAGTATGGCTAAATTACTGTTTTTCAGGGAGGACGCTGCTCCTTGGAGTTAGTTTTTTATTTTAATTTTTCACTAAAATTCCCCAGACATTGCAACACTGCACTTAATTACCTGGATGCCGCAGCTCATATTTGTTGGGGTCGAGGTTCTTCTCTGTGCATGTCTGGTGGAGAATGTCGGAGAGAAGAGTCCTTGAACTGACCCGTGTCACGTACAGCTGGTTCCGTGGCAGGTGGACCTAGAATACAACAGTATGGATGTGAGTACCGTTGTCTGAAAGATATATATAGTCTACTATCAGGAGAAATGTTAATTCATTGGCATTGTCTAGTGGCATTTAGTGATAGCTTATGACAAGGATCAGCTTTAGGTTTATGAGAATTTTGTTCTGAATTTAAACTGACTGTTTTGCATTGATGCTTATGATTCTCCTTATGATGTGTATTTGTACCAACCGTTTTACAGTGCACACAATTTCACCTTTCTCTTCACTACATGTTTTGGCACTAATGTGCCATCTTCAGGTGTGGTTTTATTTACGTCAAACCATTGCACTGCATGCCATCATGTCTCCTTTATAAAATGATTAAATGTATATATGTCATGTATAATAATAAAGTTTATATATTAAAACTTTTCAAGATTTATCATCTATACGTCACACTTCAAATTCGCGAGTTATGTCAATCCTCTCCTATGGGAGTACTCTTCCTATATTCTTGCGTATGTTGTGTCCTTCCCTTGTGACTGCGTGTGTCATATTGCTCTTATTATCCTTATTTTGGATGGATATTGTAGTTTAGTGATCATTGGTCATCATAACCTCGCTCAGTTTCAATCCTTTAAAGCACAGTGGTAACTGTGTATATCATGTGCTTTAATATTCACAAACTCAGAATAAAGAGTGATCTTATCCCTGACAACCATTAACTGATCTTTATAATGGAAATGGAAGAGGTTTTGTATGAGGTAGGAACTGAATTCTTAAATGTTACTTCAATGAACCTGAGGCCTGAAAGGGTTAATTAACATTTGATGTGGATGTTAAGTGAGTTCCTAGTCACAATGACATGTTGTGTCCTCAGGTTGTGGATGGAAGGCCCTAGATGTGGACAGCATTCATCTATGAACATATTGCATAAGCAGTACTGGACAGCCAACAGGGGTAAGTCCTTTAGCTTGAGGATTGAGCAGAGGAGTAACAAATCCTCACCATAAATAAAACAGCATGAAATAGTATTCTTCAGAATAATATAAATGGGACAATAATATTAAAATAGATCTTAAAGAGATAGAATATGATTCATCTGCCTCAGGATAAGAGTCCTGTGGTGTACTCTTGTAAACAGCTATTAATGAATGTTCTGGTTCAATAAAAGGCAGGGAATTTCTTGACTAGCAGAGTGTTTTCTTGTGAGTGAATTTTCTGCATTATGTAAAGACCTTCAATTTCTGATTATACAAATATTTCAAAGGTACAACGCTTTTATAGTACCTAAAATTTGACAGGATTGTCTGAAAAACATACTTGTCCTCTCAAGTAAAACACTACTGTTTCTCAATCCATAAACTTTCAGTAAGCTAATGTGAACAGTCTGCTCCAATTACAAAAACATACAGTGAGTAAGGGCAGATAGCAGTAGATTAGTGGCAGCTCTGATGAGATTTTTAAGAAGTATATAATGAGAAACCAGAAGAGGTAAGAAATGAATAGATTAGAGAAGCTTTAAAAAGTAAATGCATTAAAAGATAAAGTAATAAATAACAGAATAGGATGGTATAAGATACATTTTAAGAGTGAACTGAATCCCCCCCCCCCAAAAGGANGAAAACGTCTGTAACAAAGACTGAGAACAAGACAGGAAAAATAGAATAGGGAAGATGTCATTTAGAACAAAAGATCATAGGCAGGAAGGAGCACATGGAAGTGGAGGAGTTTTGGAAAATCAGAGATAGATGGACACACTTGGTTCCTAGATGACACATAGAGATGGAAATGTCAAAGAAAGGAGAAAGTTCCACTGATAATTTCTCTTGAAACTTGAACTGGATATATAAATATAATTTGGCTATATCTAAAATTATCTTGTTAATTCAGTGCAGTTTCTTAATATGAATGAGTGATAGATAAAAATCTCTATAATCGTATTTGTAAAATACCAGGTGGAATCAGTGCTATAGACCAAATGTTTTGATGAGGATTTCTGAATTGTGAGAGACCGTATTCATAGGTGGGTTACAAGTGTTTTAGAGGGACCTCCCCCCTCCTCATCTACCCTAGAGATCACAGCAGCAGAATCCTATGGAAAATTGGTAACCACCTAGAAGATCATACAACCAGAGGACCACAATCAAAACTGAGTGGTGTGAGACCCCTCACCTCTCATCCCAATAATGTGAATATTTTTATTGTGATCATCTGGATAATAAGCGTCGTATGATCTTGTATGTTGTTACCAGTCTTACAGAGGAACCTGCGGCCTCTAACATTTACTTTGAACATGGTGGCAGGAAGTTCTCCGAAACATTTACTTTGAACATGGTGGCAGGAAGTTCTCTGAAACATTTACTTTGAACATGGTGGCAGGAAGTTCCTCTGAAACATTTACTTTGAACATGATGGCAGGAAGTTCTCCAAAACATTTACTTTGAACATGGTGGCAGAAGTTCTCCGAAACATTTACTTTGAACATGGTGGCAGGAAGTTCTCCGAACATTTACTTCGAACATGGTGGCAGAAGTTCTCCGAAACATTTACTTTGAACATGGTGGCAGGAAGTTCTCCGAACATTTACTTTGAACGTGGTGGCAGGAAGTTCTCCGAAACATTTACTTTGAACATGGTGGCAGGAAGTTCCTCCAAAACTATGTGGTGTCATAACCCAAAAAGTACGATCAAAACTTTTAATGCACCAAAAGCCTCGAGTCTCATACCTGTAATCTGAATGTTGGTTCAAATGGCTGCTGCTGATTCAGTGGTTTTAAAGGTGCTTTCTTCTGGACTGCTGTGGTCTGAACCTTTGATTTAGGAACAACTTGTATGGTCCATGTGTCGAGAGCCCCAATAGGGGTGCTAGGCTTGTAGGGAAGGATGCCCCGTTCACCTATCGCCTGAAGCACATGACCACCTGTTGAGATCTTGTTGAGAGTTGTCACTTGAACCAGCAAGTCCATCATAGGCGTGCTGCAGAAGTTAAAAAAAATACTCTAGTGTAACAATATATATTCTGTACATCTCTCTCACTCAACCAAGGGATCAATTTCTAAGAGGTTTTCTTATCAGCGTTTTACCCTGAAGAAAATAAGCAGAACTGTCTCTGGATTTCCCTCACCTGCGCTCAACACTCATTTTTACAGAATGGCCAGTAGGTAGCACTACCCTCAGGTCCATGGAGCCAGCCAGCATGTCAGGAGGGGTGTCCTCTGTGATGGGGAGTGGTGGTGTTGGTGGCATGGTGTCACGTCTTCTGCAACAATCAGAAAATAAACAAATAAGATTTAACATTCCCATGACAGCAGATATTAAGATATTTTCATTCATATGCTGGACATCCTATTGTATCACTAGTATATGATATATTAATCAATCACAAATTCTTGTTTTCCGTACCTGATTTATTGAAATATCACTATGCTACATGTTTCAGTTGTTTAGACCATCATCAGACGTTTTATTAACAATAGTGTCACTGTATTATTGAACTGTTTATGCAGTGGATCCATTGTTACTGGTCTTACCATGTAAAATACAAATCAGTACATATATATACAAATACATATAGGTTACAGTGTTTAAATGTATTAAAACATTTATCAATAATTGGTAAAATTTCTGAAGTACTAATTATTATTAGTTTTTGTTAAAGTCGTTTTGTGTAATATATATGGGAATTTGTTTGGTAGTATCGGATGTGGGGAAAGGAAAGTATATGGTAAGTTAAAATTTTCTTTTTTATTTTTATAATTGCAAGGGTGTGTACTGGGTGTATCTACTGAATAAGCTAGGATATTTCATAGATACAGGTGTTTTCTGCATTGTTGTTACCAATGGATGCGTGCTGTGTTGCTTGGGCAGTTTTAATCTGAAAAATTAAGACTGTATTGTGTATTTTTTAGTTTTTTAAATGTGTGTATTTTGATATGCCATGGCCAGTTCCTTGGTTATGTTTTTTTAGTGGTGTTTACTGATTTTCCTGGAAGGGTTTATGTGAGTCCCGAGTCCCAGTGAGGCGAATTTTTTCACTTGACCTAATCCTTCCAGCTGCACTATGGCTCAGCACTCGACTCAAGTCTCTAACAGATATGAGTACCAGGAATCTTCCTGGGGGATAAAGGGCAGCTGGCAACTGCCGTCTGTGAGCTGGCTGTCCAGAGAGAACATGGGAACCTCAACATCTCACAACCATATGGGCCTTCACTGCCTGGTACAGGGATAGCTTTACCTTTACTTACCTTTGCCTTTTACCAATTATTACTAAATATTTTAATACATTTAAACATTGTAACCTGTATGTATATGTACTTATATGTACTGTTTTCTATTTTACAAGGTAGGACCAGTAGCAATGGATGCATTGCACAAGCAGTTCAGTAAGTGACATGTATTATTTCTTATAAATCGCCTGATGATTGTCTACATGACCAAAACATGTGGCATAGTAACATTTCAATAAACCTCAATTATTGTAAGCAAAAAGTTCTGCTTGACAGATATACCACATACTAGATAATAAGAATATGGTCTTGTGGGATGTGCAGCAATGTGCATAATTTCCAGCATTTTAGAGAAATGTACTGCTTCCATCTTTAGGTTTCTGTGATTTCTTTTATAACATCACTATATAGCATCAAATGGTAGGATGTTTTGTGAACAGTGAATTGGAAAGGATTTGGGCATAATTGGGCTACTATCCTGGAATTTTCTTGGATAGACTGAAGAAAGTCACGTTAAACCTCAGTCAGGAAAGATGATGATTGCCCAAGCACCTCCACCTCCCAAATACAGAGTGATACTGCTATACCAACATGTTTGCTCCCCAGTTTGGGGAGGCTACAGGTTCCTCCAAAATATTGGTGCCTATTTACCTAGGAGACCATAATCTTAAAGACATAAAACAATTTCCAGACATGCATGTTTTGTATGAATAGCACTCAAACTCCCGACCACACGCTAAAACAAAATGTGACAGCGCTGAAAATCTGGCATGAAAACATGGAAACAAATAGTCAGAAGAACATGGCTATATAAGGGAGACTAATACTGCAATGGACTGAACGTAGCCGTCTAGTGATTAGCACTTCGGTTTCGTGTTTGAAAGGCCTTTGGTTCAGAACTCGGTCCTGGGACCGGCCGTACTGACTTAGGTCTTGGGCGGTTTTCCTCAGTCTCTCCAGGCAAATACCGGTATATTATCTCAAATCAGACCATTGCCGCTTCCAACTACGTCCGTTTGAATCAACTATTCGTTATCCTGCTATCATTTGCCGCTGTATAGTTTGACCTATTGTCGGCGTCATTAAATAAGGCGTAAAGTAGATAACCACTGCAGACACGTTGCCTACTTTGTCACCCCGCACCCTCCCAGGAGGCCTTGCCGTCACATACACTGGCCTTCAAATCCCCAAGGCCTTCTTCAAGTGTGCTGCTTACCTACAAAACGACACGAAATTCAGGGAACACAATACAGGCAACGAAATATTATACAATTCTAAGACGTCGATTCATGTTTGGTTCCAGTTTTCAAGTAGAGATGGGGTCAGAATCGATACTGAAGCACAAAAACTTCAGATTATGATACTAATGATCCAGAGGAGTCCACTACCTACAGCTTCAGGATTTAAGAACTTCTGTCCTGAAAATTGAGGCAGCAGGTTCTTCCGAAACGCTTGTGCCTATCTACCAGACTACACGGAGTCACATCTCAATAGACAGTTTTCTTAATATTTAGCTCCGTGAAAACGTTAAATCTCAAACTGTACTAAACGAACTAACTCTTAATATTTCAAAATCATTCACCCTAAAAATCCTATTCTTATAAAACCTGTACGTTCATTACAATCATCAAAACGTCCGCCAAAGGGTTATATTTAAATTCAGCTAAATTAAATTTGCATCTTCTAAATATACTTCCCTAAAACGAATTTTAATAGTACCATCACATCTACCCCTAGCCCTTTCAAGTTCTTTATTTTTATGTGGGTTTACTAATCAACATTTTAATTCATTCCATGTGTTATCCTTACACCACCCATATCAGTGTAGTATAAGCTCAAGCAGGCATGAAGGTCAAGAAAGTGTGCAGTTTCAAGTTTGGTAACGCTGGTAGAAGGGAATGAGCGTTTATAGTAAATACTCTTGCCACCACTTCGCATACACACGGCCTGATCGAAGCATCCAATATTAAATACAATACAAAATTAGAGTTTCAAGAAGCTCTTCAAAATAAGAATTCTTCATGAAAATGACAACAGCTCACACACTACACACGCATGTCGGAGAAGTTGCCGCACCATCACGGGGAGATTTTTTTTTTTTTCCTCGTCGATGCTCATGAAGGGAAAAGTAACGGCTTCGGTCTAGAAAACCGAAATTAATGGCCGTGAGGATTCGTTGCGCTGACCACGCGATACCCTCTATCCGCTAAAGTTGGCTCTAACTTCGCCGACAAGCGGCGGTCGCTCGGTCGGTATAGTTCGCTTGCGGATTACAGGCCACGGAGTTAATTAATTTTATATCACTGAATGTTTTAAAACTGATAGGGCAGAAGAAAAAATGAAGGATCTTCAATCGGCGGAAACCTTTAGAACGTTAGACGGTCGTCCAATCAGAGTTTATGTTGTTCTGAGATTAATTTCTGGGAATACAGTTAGGGACGGGACAGAACACATTGCATTTCATGGCCTCCTCAAGAATATGACGATATCATGTCACGATACAGCCTACGCTTGCATAACTCTAGACCCCCAAGTAAGAAAATTGCGTCCAGAAAATAACGACTACTAATAAGTGCCACTGCTACCTTTGTCTCTCCAATGTCATGGCAATTTGAACCATTATGCACGACCTGACACTGCTGCCAGCCACCAGAGCGCAGCTACATATCTCATTATTGCGTATTCACCTGTCAAAACAAAAAGCCTAAGACGTTCCAATGTGAACTGACTCTTTAACCATTCTTTTCGAAAGTTTCAAACGTTATATTAGAATGAAATTGGAGCAACTCTGCGAATGACTTATAACTGATTTTGCAACGGACAAAAGACATACCGATGTGTTGAAACTTATAATTTTACGCATGCGCGAACAGCGAGTAAGCATTAACCACGTAAAAAAAATATAGAAACGGTTACAATTTTGAATGAACACGGTTGTGCCAACCTCATTCCTCCGAAGTAATGCTTCTTGTGTTAGTTAACGGCCCTCAAAACTGCCCCGCCTGCGGATTTCTATCTTATCGGCCGTACGCACATTTCGCACGCAACAGCGGAATCCAAAATTCGTCCGTTTTTCCACCTGCTGAGAAAATAAACATACAGCGACTTGGCATAACGATGTTTCACGTACACCAGTCGTTCGTCGAGTGCTGTCCACAAACGCACAGCTAGTCATACATTTCGAAGTCAGTAGCCGCTTTCGTGTTCTTCTCTTAATTCTAACCTGCAGCTGCATCATTACTATCTGACCATATCCTCAGTTCTCGCTATACGTTCACCATTAATTATTTCAGTGAATCGTAGTCCGTAACGGCATAAATGAATATGCTGCTCCGTGACCTGTAGTCAGCAAGTGAATTATACCGCCCGAGCGACCGCCGCTTGTCGGCGAAGTTAGTGCCAACTTTAGCGGATAGGGGATGTCGCGTGTTCAGCGCAACGGATCCCTATGGCCGTTAATCTCGATTTTCTAGACCGGACATAAATGAATATATTCTGATAACAAATGCATAAAAGTTAAGGAAATGTTGGGATAGTGCCTCAAATTAGACCACGACCTCTTCCGCATCCATTTCAATTAATTATTCGCTGAATCCTTACAAACGCCACGAATAAAGTCATTCTTGAGAAGCTAATAGTTGCTCAAATAGCCAAGAAATTCTCGGTACTTTACGGAACCCGAAGGTTCACTATCGTGTTTACAAGAGCCCGTCGTTAATGCGTGTTCTGAGCCAGATGAATCAAGTCTACATCTTGTCATCCTATTTCGAAGTCCATTTTAATATTATATTCCATATATGCCTAGGTTTTCCTACCAAAATTCTGTGTGTATTTCTCACAGCTATGATGCGTGCTACGTGCCCCATTCATCCTTAATTTCTGTAACATTCTGTGGTATACAACCAGGGCTACTGACAGCATCATTAAATAAATTAAAAACAAATAAATAAGCAATAAATTAAATGAAAGTTTTCGAGTAATCCAAGTTTCATACTTGACAAGTTTTGTTGATTTATTCAGAACTCCCATCCATTCAGCAGTAAGATGTCTGCCTGTCTGCCCCTTGAAGAGATAGCAGCTAGGCCTCAGACAAGTTTCTAACCCCCCCCCAAAAAAAAAAAGCTTTCAAGTTGCATCACGACCTTCATAACACGTCTTTCCCCAGGATGGTGTCATGGCGCATGTCCTGCATTCAAATGTTTGATGCGCTCCTGGCAAAATGACGCACATAGCCTTGAAGTTATACGGGAGGAAATGGTGCTTAACTAATTAAAGCTCTATGCCATGAAGGTGTATGAGGGAGTGCATGGATACATTCACGTTACTAGCTCGAGGTGAGTGATCAGCTTCACGCCCCAGCCGCTTTACCCCTGTGAAAAGAGCCGCAGTACCCATCGTATGGGAGGCTGGGTGGGCCCCACAACCGGTCTGGACGACGTTATGAAGAAAAAATTCTTGCCTCCACCAGAAGTCGAACTCCGACCCCTCGGTCGTCCAGTCCGTAGCCAATCGCTATACCCACTACGTTATCCCGGCTCACAATAATAATAATAATAATAATTTTGATATTTAAAAATACTAATCTCTTGCCATATGCTGTTCTTAAATGCGAATTGCTAGAAGAGATGTGAAATGAGGTAAAATCAGAGACGTAACGTTCAGCACACGGTCATACTGTTCCTGAGGTGCAGGCTGAAGGTTTGCTGCAGTAGACCCTGTACGACAGAATAAACACGGTCTCAGAAGCCTTCCGACAAAGCACAGGAAAGAGTTAGCTAAAAAAAATTGAATGACTGGCTAATTGAAAACACAGGCAATCTGACTGGCTTGCTGCCGAATTCCCAGGTACTTTTTGTCTCTGAGCTGCAGGTAGAAGTAATAAATGCTTCAGCATGTTCCTGTCGAGATTTGGGGTCTTCACAGAAGTAAAAATTTAGATCGTGGTACGCTGGGTTACGACTCTAAGATGCAGGTAGATGGTGTCTCCCAAACGTTGACACCCATCTGTTAGACTACACGGTGTCATAAACCAGGAGACCATCATCTGAATTTTTCTCGTTCGTTATGAAATCCGAACGTATATGCCATTATGCATGTCACTACTGCCTCACTTTATAGGCCCTGCAGCTCACGTTCTCAAAGTTTATCTCTAAGATTCGTTTTAATATTGTGACGGAATATGACAGTTCTAAGCAACGGCTCGGTAAACACCGCCTAAAAGTTGGAATAGTGGAGCTAGACACGGAATTGCGCATTTGCTAGGCAACGGTTGATGCACGTTTCCGAGACAGCAGTAGTGGAACCCTTGGAAACGGTGACCTCTGTTCGGTTCTCTGGAAGTTATAGAAGGGGGTTCATTCGTGAATTCCAGAGGTCTTCATACGGCATTAGTCAGACAGGATTCGTGATGCATTCAAAAGAAGTTAAATGTGTGAGCTGTTATGATTGGCTGTAACTGTAAAAAAATGCCAATAAATCCAATCATCAAATCCATAACCCATTATTACTAGTCACGACAACCCCTAATAAGAGGCAATATCATATTCTCATCGTCTCGATAATCCGGCTATTTTATTATGAGGATTACCCACCTTAATTCCATAAGTATTTCTTTTTTACGTTTTTTTTCTACGTAGACCTACCCAACCTATTTGAATTTCCGTAATTTAACTATTCTAAGAACGTGAAGTACGAGTAATTTTCCGTAACGCTGGCAAACCGCCACGTCGTTGTAGCTCAAAGCATGACTTAGTGTGTGATCTAAGACATCAGTAAGCAGGGCGATGCAGCACACATGTTATGACACATCCAGTGGTTTGCAAAAGTGCTCGAGTTCCGGGTGACATGACGCAACGTGCGGACAGGATGAACACGAAGTCTTGTTCCCACTATTCTTTACCTTGCACAGAACTGAAGATAGAAAGCAAAACTGAAATTGTGCAATTCGTATCGCAGTGCACAGTTTTCACATGCGTTCTTCGCGCCTTGGCTTTCTCAACGCTCTAGCCTGCTCCAAATAGATTGATGAACATGCTAACAACTGTACAGCTTTGAGTACTATGGTTGCTAGGTTTCGGAGGAGGCTCTACCACTTCATAAGTTCGCGCGTCCACCACGTTATTAATACCGATTATATGAAATGAAAAATTACTGGTTTGGGACGACCTCCAGTAGCATAAAATTCATACCAATTTTCACTCACCTAGTATCTCTCGAGAAAAACATGCGTACAAACAAACATTGTATCTTCTATATGCATTCTTCTTATTCACGCAGTATAAGAACCCCTAAGGAAATCAAGGTAAAATGCAACGCTGTAACCTTTTGGTCTTAACGCCTTTTTTTAATGAATTTAAGTCAAATTTCTTAGTGGGGAGACATGTGTACAAAGGGGCGGATTGAGGAATGTCGGAGCAGGATTGCAACCAATATCTCGACGTAAAAGATGGGTGCAGTCTTGTTAAACTTGTCCTTAGCCAGAAGATGGCTCCACCTTACGGCAACCGCAAGGCCAAGAACGTTCATTCAACTTCCTTAGTCGATAGGGTCACCGCCACGTCAGGTTGAGCGCTTGGTGCAAGGGTACGGATTGTCGGCAGATCTAACGTTTTGCGTGCATGGCTAAGAGAGGGAAGACGAGGGGGGGGGGGGGGTCCCATTCATTCATGTAACCATGTTATGGTATTATATTATATGTTTCTGGGTTCGAACCAAATATACCATTGTCCGTTCGTATGTAGGCCTATAGTTTTTAGTGATAAAAATAATACTTCATTTTGCCGTGACCTACTTCAAGACTTCTGTTGTCAACCTTTACAACTTATATCTCGAGGGGCGAAACCTTGCAAGCCATGTTGGTTACAGATGATTATACCAGCTCGCAGAAAACATCGGCTGAAAATAAATGATTCTTCTTCTGAAGTATCTGTCTCTGTTTTATTCTTAAATATGCAGATAATTCCTGAGAGCAAAGATAACGGCTTGGCGCTACAGCCCACTGTGAGCCTTGGCCTCCTTGCGAAGGTATATTACCAATCTTTCTGAACCTTCGACACCAGATCGAGATGTGTGGTTAGCGCTATAGCCCGACTGAGAAAGAGCCCCCAGTACCCATTCTAAAGGAGGAAGAATGGTCTCCAGAGCCGGCCTGGACACTGTGGAAAATAAAATATTTCTGCCACCGCAGGGAATCGAACCCTGTTTCTTCAGTCATCCAGCCCGGGGCCTAGTCACTATACTGAATGACTTATCCGGTTCATCGTATTACGTGCACAGCTATAAAACTTGATTTTTTTAATCTGACATTGTTCGTAGCTTTTGGTACATACTGTGCTTTTTGCGGAGCACTCGGTAGCGTAGTTGGTTGAGGCACTATTCTACAAGCCGGAAGGTCGCGGGGTCGAATCCCGATGAGGTTGATTTTTTCAATTTACCTAATCCTTCCAGCCGAATTATGGCCCTGAGGTCGACTCAGCCTCTAACAGAAATGAGTACCAGGAATATTCCTGGGGATAAAGGGTGGTCGGTGCATAAGACTGACAACCTCACCGCCATCTGTAAGCCAATTGTCTAGAAAATGTGGGAGCCTAAAAATCTCACAAACCTATGGGCCTCTATGGCCTGTTACAGGGATACCTTTGCTCTTTTTTTTTTCTTTTGCTGTACTTGCCGCTGTGTTTTCTCAACACCGCTAGTCACGGCTTCTTTATCGTGACGTCTTTTGGATATTTATTAAATTTATTTTGAGTTTCATGTAAAGCAGGAATTATAGTGGACCTGTATAAAGAGACTTCCGTTGAGTAATTTTGGCGAAAATCTTGTGAACAGAACAAAGAAGACATGGCATGTCGTACGTTATACGTCCATCTTAGACACATGTGCAAAGTAAGCACAGGTTATTCATGTATCCTCTGTTGTTCCTCGTTCCAGTGCCTTTCTTCATACCAGTGACTGTTAGCTGAAGTGGGGTTCCTATTGTTACGCAAGTGGCCCCAATACCAAACCGGTCCACACACGCACCAGCCTGCCTCTTGACGAGACAGTTTTACTGAGAGGCTATCGACATCAATGAAATACAGTACCACCCTGATAATCACACGTAAGTGAAGCAAGTATCAGTTGTAGTATCAGTTGTCTGGCATAGCACGATATTGAATGTGCGTCGCAATTTGACGCGGCTGATATTGAGAGAAGACTACGTGGTCTGACAATATAGTTCGCGAACTTATCGCTGAATATCACCGTGGTCACCTTGGGAGGCTATGCACTGATGCCAGCGCCTAGTCCACTCTTCAGACAATTATAGGCCACGGAAACCCCGACAGTAATTTAGAATCAACCTGTATATCCTGTTTAATATATAGTAAGCATTTTGCTAACGAAGATTTCGGCAGAGGAGCTAGGACTTTCCTTCTTCCCTCTCGAATCGACCCATAACGCGTAAGTATGCCTTACGATAGCACTGTCTAGAAAACTCACTGTAGTTAAGTCGGGATTTTTTTGCGAATGCTGGAAGAAGTAAACATAACTTTACAATCACTCTGTCTCTAATTGCTGTACTGCCACAGTAAAAAGCTGGGCCTTTTACTGATACAGCCGTATAAACTAGTAAAACAGGTGAGAAGTTAGAAAGCCACTTATTGAGACTCAGCCTACTCTGACGACATGTTTCTACGCAATTTCCTTTTCGAAGAATGCTAAAGACGATGTATCTGGATAAGCAGTAACAGTTGCCGGTGACCTTAATTAATGATGGATGCCTTATTTTCACTCAAGGGTATGAGATGGACAGATCGAAGTGGTTGATGTAGCAATAAAGGTTTGGTTCTTATTCAGGTGCTTGGTTCGAATCTGGGCCAGTGCACCGGCTGTTCTGACTTGTGGCTTTCGGGACTGCCCGAGTCTCTCTAACGAAATGCCGTGATAATACCTCGATAAGTCCATTGCCATTTCTTTCCAAAACTTTTCCCACTCATAATTCACAATTCTACAATCCTGTGTTACTCGACACTAAAACGCCAAACTAGTGACGGGACTGGACAACCAAGGATTCAGGGTTCGATTCCGGGAGGGATAAGAGATTTTGTCTTCTCCGTAATGTCCACACCGGCCCGTCTGGACTGCCCGTCCAGTTTCATATACAGTGTGTACCGGGAACTGTTTCCCGGGGTAAAGTGACAGATGCGTGAAGCTGACCACTCACCTCCATCTAGTGCTGAGGTCAAGAACGATGGAGTTGTACCTCCACTCTCCATTCATAGCGTGGTGATTAATTAATTAAATCCAAGGATCATTTTGCTGACGTAAAATAGCTCGCAAAAAGAAAAGGGCTTGGCATGTAGCACGCATGTGAGAAATGCATACAAAATGCTGGTCGGAAATCCTGAAGGGAGGAGTCATAGAGGCATAAGTGGAAGGATGATATTAAAAGTATTACGGAAATAGTTTCGGAAGTTGCCTGTTTTATTCATTTCATTCAGGATAGGAACCAGTGGCGAGCTCTTGTGAACACGGCAATGAACCTTCGGATTACGAGGTACGAGGTTCTCACGATGGTGACTACGGAGGTTACTGTCTTCTGGGATGTGAAGCCTTGTACTCTGGAAAATATTTGCCAAATTTTTGGACGAACCTGATACCTCCAGCTACAGAGTTAATGAGATGCAGGCGTCAGGTCCTCCCTAAACGTTGTTAAATATCTACCAGACTACACGGCGTCCCATTTCAGAAGACCGTAATCTTCAACCTTCGAGTTCGACAAAACACAGAGAAGTTAATGACCAGGTGAGCGACTGTTGGCTTCTCAGGAAGGACTCTGTTCCAAGGAGTTAGTTTCATTCAAGTGGAAAATAAGAACACTGCATTCCGCGATGCTTTTAAATATCTGCTGTTAGTGAAAGTTGAGGAGCGCAAGGCAACAGGAAGGAGATGTTACTTCCGGTCATTCAGACTCGACAGTCTCATATAGGGTAACAAGAAACCGGTCTTGCGAGAGCCGAGGGAGGTAAAACAGGCAGATCGGCAAGTTTCCTTTTCATTCTGCACAAGCATCTAGATTCACACGGTTGCCATACTGGAATGAAAGTATGGTTTAAACCTCTTAAAGCACGGCGGTTACTGTACGCTACCTTAACATGGATAGCATTGCATTTTGCCCACATAGTATTTGTGTGTCTCATATGATTTCCACAATAAACAACGGACATTTCCCTAAACTTTCTTAACCGGTTTTCCTTTGTAATGAGACGCATTGTGTTTCCTGTGAGGTACAAATGAAATTTGCGAACGTTCTTTACGAAGCTGAGGGGCTGTGGCTGTTCGTCTCTCTGTGTGACCTGACTCTAGCTCCTTTACCGTTTTCAGTAAACGCGTGAGGCGTAATCAAACTTTGAATAGTTCTGTCTTCTAAAATATAGCACCTTGTAGGCCGGTGAAGGACAACCGACATTTCGGAGGAATATATCGGCTCAGTCTTCGGGTTCGTATAGTAAAACAAGCAAGCTTGCTGCTTACTCCATGCTGGTTTCTACCTTGGGTTACTTTTGGGCCCTGAAATGGAGACGATATGTTCCTCCAAAATGTCACTTGACTGTCACCAGAGTACATGTCATTGTACTTCAAAAGACAGAACTCACCGTAGACAATTCTGTGATCAGCTCAAAATCTGTAAAAAATGTGTCCAGAAATTTTAGTATCCAGCCATACTGATCCATAATGAAACCCAGTTTACAAAAGCCCCTACATGGACTTTGCCATGTATCTCATATACCTTCTCACAGATACAGTCAAAATCGATGTGAGAGACTTCAGCGCAAATGTATCGAGCAAATCCGATTTTCAGTCATAGTGATCCACAATAAAACCTGTATAAGATTTGAGGCTTTCACGGCGGTAACTATGAAGAAAGCAGTCTTCTGGGATTTGGCACCGTGTATATGTGGTGTTAACCGACGTTTCGGAGGAACGTATCGCCCCCATCTTCAGGGTAGAAGAAAAAGTATAAGAAATCTGCAAGCGACAACACCGTGATACCGTTTCTCACGGTGTTGTCGCTTGCAGATTTCTTATACTTTTTCTTCTACCCTGAAGATGGGGGCGATACGTTCCTCCGAAGCGTCGGTTAACACCACATATACACGGTGCCAAATCCAAGAAGACTGCTTTCTTCACAATAAAACCTGTTTTACACAAGGCCATAAGCGGACATTTGCCAGTACTCCATAAACTTTTCTATAAATTTTGTTATAATTCTGAATGGGAGACATCCATAGAACTGTCCAGTAATTTCGAATATTAGCCACTCTTCCCGTGTGTTGATGAACTTTTGAAATTTGACATGATTGGGGGGGGGGTAGGATTTTAGTATTAGCATGTCTAAGTACGCTCAATGAACCCCAAAGAATGTCGTTGGTAATTTTGGATTACACCCTTTCCAATCCTATAGGTATGTAGATGTGTAGGGGTGACTGAAGACGGGGGTTTGGATTAGTGAATAGATTTATTGACCACTTACACGACTCGGATCTACAAGCAATTACAGCGCCACCTCTAATCTCCACACTTTACACATTACCACAGTTCCCGCTAAACCTTTTCCAACGTGCTGTGTCACAAGCCCTTCTCTGGCAACGGCTTCTAACAGTGGAGATTCTTCAGCTTCACGCGATCAGGCCCTCTCTTCACAGCCTCCCGTACAGGACTATCAACTGAACTATCCTAACTTTGTCCCTTGCTTATAACATCTCGGCACCGACCACGTATAAAACACCCCGTTTCCATTGTTGTCGTCCAGCTGTTGCATTATTAAGAATCTGCTGCATAGAAATGGGAACGTGTTTGCCTAGCCGTTGCTCAGAAACTGTCGCTGTTTACAGAGTCGCATTAGCAGCGGGTCTATACGCCACAATATGGTCGAGGCCGAATCAAATCATTTATTTTCCTAACTCCATGACCAGAGAAAGACATTCGTTGTTAATTTAACTGCTAAATAAACGTTGAACTTTTTATCATGGTGCCAAAGGCTTCCCAGTTCTTTCATTCTGGAATGGTTCCAAAATGTAGACACGAATTCGAAAGTAACCTGAGTTACGGCAGTAACAACAAAGGGACGTAGTAGCGTATCGAATACATTAACTAAGTAGTGAAATACAGTTCGCATCACGTAATTCTGTTGTCACCCGAACAAAGCTGAAAGTGAAATAGTTTCACACGCAATACGCGCACCGATTCCCATCACACGGCCCATCGCAAGTTAATGAGCGTCACCAGCGCTGACGAAACTGACGGAATGTCTGGAGACTTTGGGCGGCCGCACACCAACTGCGTCAAGACAAGCATCAAGACACAAGACAAAAGACGTAGTCTTGCTTCATTCGTGATTCAGACTCGAGTCCGCACACCGAAGTGGCACGTGTCTGCGTCTTAACACATCTTCTCTAGTTGATGACATGACGTCGTCCAGTGAGGAAGATATTTTAATGTACATGTGACTTAAATTACTTAAAAGTGGGAAAAGGAAGTGGATTCATGACTTTAATGAGTCGTGTGCTCAACATGGTGCGTACGTTTTGTTAAACGATCCCGTCAAATTCCAGCTCGGGGACGAATAATCTTATATTACCGGGAATTTCTCAACCCTCTTCAGTATTTTAATATTTATTTGCTCCTCACTCATGCCGATAACGTACACTGGTGCTGTTCCTTGAGTATTGATGTCTCAGTCTTGACACACAGAAAAGAACATGCCGAGTCTTGCTGCACGTGTCTGCAGCATGAAGCTGACGCCAGAATCATAACTCAGACCGGTGTGCGGCGGTTTTCATAATGTCATTCGTTTCAACTGTGCTCCTTTCCTTGCGTCATGTCGCAGACATCGTGTCTTGACTGTCCCTGAGGTATGTGATGGCTGTGACCAGGCAGCACGTTATCACGTCCTCCGTCTTTACATTGGAGAATCATCTCTGACGCGTCACGTTTTATTTAGGCCTTCAAATGCTGTTATATTTAAAGTAGACAAAAATTTCTTCCTTTCGGTTCCTACCTGGAAACAGGTTTTAGAAAAACCTAGCGATACAATGGAGACTTCAACGCTGG